AGTGGATGTTTGTTTGCTGTGGCATGGCCGCTCCATCTGATGTCATTCGCTTGGGCTGGAGATGCTCACTTGTTTTTTATGCTGTGTTTCAGCTGACAGAACAATTTAAAAGCTTGCTGCAGTTGCTTCTGGAGTGCCTGAGAAATGCATCGCTGGAGAGGCTGCCGGGTCAGGCAGCTGTTTTCCCAAGCAGAGCGCAGGAAGCGTTCAGCTTCTGCAAGGGTGACACCTCCACCTTTGTGTGGCTCACAGAAGCCAGGAGAACAGCATGCAAATGGGAGAGGGAGATAATCCATCAGGTGGATGGTTCATTCCTTGGGTTGGCAGGTGATTAGAGTTAATATTCCCTAAGAGCAAGATGTTTGAATTATAGGGATTTGGGTTTTTCTTTTCTTGGCTATTTCTGCTACTCCTAGGGAAGGCAACCTAAAAAAAGGACCTTTCAAAGCTCTTGTGAGGCTGCAAAGTGTGACACTGCTGTTCTACTAGGCAGCTACTTTGTCCTGGCAGTCCCCTGCCTGTCTCTGCTCTGAGCTGGATTCCAGCGGGGTGGTCAACTGCCTTAAATGAATTAAATGGGCAAATTCCTCAGGGCCAAACTATGCTTGGCATCCTTTGGTAGCTAACATCCTTCAGTTCCTCTGACAACCCCTGTTTGAGGGTTTTCTTTAGCCTTTGAAGTCATGTGGTCCTAAAAGTTTTCTAGTGGGTTTTTTGTCTCTTATTCCAGTGCACTGCTCTGGTTCCTGCTCGCAGCTGCAGCTCCTACATGTGGTGTGTTGGAGAAACAAGGAAACCCCCACCTTGGCTTTTGTTTTCCTTTTCAGATGTGTTGGTAGAGGACTGGGCTTGCAGACAAGCTGGGTGTTCTTCTGGCTGCCCGGCTCCCTGGGGACAGGCAGAACCCGCCTGCGGGGCAGGCTGTCCATGAGCTGGGTGCAGTGGCATGAGGACATGTGGAGCTATCAGCCAAGGGGGTCCTCAGCCAGGTCCTTTTTGTCTCCCTCATCCTAGCCTGGTTCAGAAGCAGCCTGCCTTGCCTCTGGCATCCCGGCTGGCCTTATCCCGTGGTGCAAAGGGGGTACAGCCTGTGCGTGAGGGGGTGATGTGCTGCGGGCGAGAGCTGGACCCCATGGCAGTTGCTGGGTCCCAGACAATCTGATGGAGGTGATGGCTCAGGGGAAAAGAGGATAGCAGAGGGCTGGGACAGGCAGGGTTTGCTAGCAGGGATGAATGCAGCACTATTGATCTGGAAACCAAAGCTTGGCTGGCAATGACCGTACAGGAGCAGGGGGAGATGAGGAAAACCAGGGCTGAGCTGAGCAGCGTGCTGCCTTCGGCTGTGCTTGCTCTCCTGGGAAATGTCCCTGTGACTTGTGACTTGCTTGGCTGGGAGTGTTCAGCCAGTGGCCAAGGATTGTTCCTTCATCCAGTTTTGGCTCACCCTCTGAATTTATACCCCTTAGATATTATAGGAAACTTCCTGACTCATCCTGGCTAGCAGTATTGCCAGCTTTTTTGAGGTCCCTCTCTGTTTGCCTCCAAAGTTCAAGCAGATCATGAGAGCTCTGCTGACCCAAAGCACAAGCAACATGGGATGCAAGGGTGGCTTTGCAGAGAGGTGGCAAGTTGCCTGTGTCTGAGAGAGACTGGAAGCATCTATGTTTACAGAGAGGTAATAAACTTTCAAGGTGCTATCGGCCTTGGGAAGGTCCTGCTGTGCTTGATGTAAGAGCCATGTGTTGTGCCGTGGGCTGCAGAGGCTGTCTGCTACCTGTTGGAGAAGTCACGCACCTGAAGTGCCAAGGTGTGATGGAGAAAGGGTTATTTTACAGAAATACGGATGGCTGTTGAACCCTGATCTGAAGAACACCAAGGGCGAAGGGATGCTTGGTCTGGGTTTGTCAGCACTTCCAGCACCTTCTGCTACCACACAGCAGCTGATTTCTGCCCTGGCTTAGACATCTCCAGTGCAGACCTCTTAAAACAGTGGATGAGTGCTCTGCTCAGGGCATGCATGAGCTGCAAGATACTGTAGGCAATGCAATGTCGTGTCAGCCGGGCACCTTCAGGCAGCTTTGCAGAGGTTGAGGGGTTTGCTGTTGCAATAGCACTTGCAGTGATGATGCCTTGCATCACTGCTGATGGGGGGAGGCTGACTTGGTGTTGGTGTAGCTTGTGCGTGTGGGGAAATAATCCAATTATCTGAGGTCAGAAGTGCGGGCGTGGGGAGGCTGGTGGAGCTGGGGCAGGGCACGCTGGGCCAGGGTACTTGGCTTCTTCACTCATGCCTCTAACTTGTATGGCTGATACGCCTTTCCACCCACGCACCTCCAAAGCAGACCCTCTGTTCTCTGACAAAGACGGTGCCTCCTCTTGCCTAAGGCCCAGGATGGCTGTGTGGTGTTGAATCCTTGAGGAAGACTCTGTTGCTCAACGCCCCTCATCAATCCAGCCAGGGATTTCATGTCCCACCCTCGGCCATGAAAACCAGTGGGCTGTGCTCTCCCGGGGTTGTGGCTGATGGCACCTTCAGCTCTTGTGGTGTGGGAGGTTCAGTACCTGCTAGAAATGGCCCTTCTCCTTTCTTTCCCTTGAAAAAAGGACGTGCAGTTTTGGCAGCCTCCCTCCTTTGTACTCTGCCACCTGCCCCCCAGGTGAGTGTGTTGAGAAGACCATATGGGGCTGCTTCAAACTGGTCAAGAAAGGGCAAGGGGGCGGGGGGTACCAGTGTAAAAGCAAAAAGGGCACAAATCAACCACTTGAACCTCAATATCAACACGTTGGAGAGGCAGGTTCTTGCAGCTTGTTTCTGGCCACTGAAAGTGATGTACCAAATGGTATTGGTCCCTAACAGATGTTGCTGCAGGTGCTTTGCAGGTCCCTCCACACTGGCACGGGACCTGCCTGTGCTGTAGGTGACCTGGCATTTGCTGCCTGCGGCACGTCAGCGTGGAAAGCTGTGCAAGGGGATGGAGCGGCACAGGGAATCATAGAATGGTTTGGGTTGGGAGGATGTTTGGTTTTATGGTGTTGCAGTGCCTGAACTGAGCAAGGGAGCCGCCAGCCTCTGCAGGAGGAGGGGATGAGATGGGATGAGTGGGGACCCGTCAGGTTTGTTGGATGAAGCCAGCGCTGTGGGCAGGCTTTGTCCTGGTGAGATGCTGTTCATCTTGAAGCCAAGCTGTGAAAACCGGTGCATTCATCTGAACTAATGGCTTTTAAGCTCAGGATTATCACAGTAATGCAGCTCAAGTTCACATGCCAGTAACTCCCAGGTATTAACCAGGAAGCCTGAGATGTAGAGGTCTTGGGATGAGGAGACATCAGAGTGCCCTGTTGACAGCAGAAGCTTCGCAGGAGCCTCGTATGCTTTGGAAAGGAGGAGGTGGGATGGCTGGGTGCTTCCCTGCTGCTGAGGTTGGGCTGGGTGTGGAAACCACGGGTGCTGAACCAGGTGGTTTATTTGGTAACCAGACTCTAGCTTGTCATCTATCTCCTCTCCCTTATACTAAGGTCTGTCAGCCTTGCGCCTCAGCAGACCGAGAGCCGGAGGAGGGTGATAGCTCAGAGGCATCTCCAAGTGCCTGTCCCTGGGAGAAGAGCACCCACAGCTTCAGTCCCACCTCCCAGATGCTCCTGCTTGGGAAAGGGGGTCTGTCACAGGGATATCCACAGCACCATGAAAAAAATTTTTGGGTCAAGTGTGCCAGGGATTTGTGCTCCTAAATGCCTTCTACAGCCTAGTAGAAGCTGTGCCCCAGAGCTGGCTTTAAATCCCTGGCCAAGCATATGTTTGCAGTTTCTAGACAGAAAACGCCTTTGTGAAAGGTGTGCTACGTACCCAGCGCTTGCTGCAGTGGGCTGGAGGCCCTTAGCTGGGATGTCCCTTCGGCTGGCCTCCTTCAGTGAAGGTGTGCAGGTTGAGTGGAGCCGTATTAGACACCTGCAGCCTTCTGTTTGGAGTCATGGCTGAAAACACCCAAAAACATGGGTTAGTGAGTCCCTGCTCACTGGTGTTGCATCCTACCCTTTCTACACTCAGGCGTTAAGTGTTTCCATCTCTCCTTCAGCATGAGGTGCTGTCTGTGCCCTGGGAGCCTCGTGGCTCTCTTGGGTGCTCAGCAGTCAGGGGCTTTGCTGGAGGAACCCTGCGTTGCACAGCCCCTGCTCCCAAATTTGAGTCTTTCCCATGCCGCTGTTCCTTGGCCCAGCTTTATGTGCAATAAGAGTCTCATGGTGGGCCAGCAACAGCTCTGTTCCATGTAAGACACATCTCTGGTGCAGGTTGGGTCCTTTCTTGCTACCTTGGGGGTCACCTGCATGGGTGACATGGCATTTCAGTTTGACTCGGGGGGGGGGGGGGGGGGGGGGGAGAGAGGGATGGGGGGGGGGGGGGGACGGGATGACAGCAGATATGGCTGCGGTGGTTGACAACGTCTCCTTGGGGGGTGGCATGGTGTTGGGGAGGAGAGCCTTATGTGCCCACCGGCAATGCCCAGCCGTGTATGATCTGCAAGCTCCTGCTCACAAAGAGCTACCATGATAGTTGTCGGTGCTCTCACTGCTGTTGTTTCTCAGTCAGATAAGCACCAAGCTCCTGTCTCTGGAGCTGAGGTGGGAGTTTCGCTTCAGGATTCCCACAAAGTCAGCATTTTGCTGGGTTTTTTTTTGTCCTCTGCACTCATATAATAATTAGTTCATTGTGGCTTGTTTGCGCCGGAGCAAGTTCTTGCTCTTCCCAGTGCTGGGCTTGGGATGCTTTGGGGGTGTAAATAAACGAATGCATGGGAATAACAATCCCTCCCGATGTCACTTAGTGTTGGCACGCTCTTCCCTCGGCCCAGCCGTGCCGAGAGAGCTAGCCGCTAGCGCTGGCCCGGTGCTGAGTTTAGCCCTGGAGAGTAGAAAGGAGGGCGGGGGGGGGGGGCCCAGCAGTCTGCTGGTGGGGATAGAGGAAAAAATGACTCATCTTCATGCTAAGAAATGGAGACGAATGAATGCCCAAGGAAATGGGGGGAGAGGAGAAAGAGGTGTCTTGTGTTATCATTCCCAGCTGCGTGGTGGTTGCTGCCGAGGAGGAGCTTGCTCCCCTGCTGATTTGCCGGCTGCTGGGAGGAGATGTTGAGAAGATGAAGGGGGGCGGTTGGGGATGGAGGGGATCCCAGCCTCGGGGAAGAATGGTGCTGACCCATGCTGGGGCAGCTGGTCTGGTTTAAACCTCACCTTTAGCTACGCAGGGATATTTCCCATCTCTTTATTTTAGATGGCTCTCAGCGTTTTAAAAACAATAAACTTATTTCCAGCTTCGTTCCCAAACCCTCTGGTGTTCACCCAAACCCCAGGTTGCCCCAAGGATTTCCCCGTTATTAATACTTCTTTCTCTCACTCCTAGGACTGGGCGATGACTCCACAGCATTGCCCCTCACCCCCGCCAGCCCTCCCTTCCCCTCGGAAGGGACCCCAGCGGGGCCAGGCTCCAGGGATGCAGTTGTCCCCAGGCCAGCTCCTGGCCAGCCCTTGCTGCCCACGTCCACGGGACCTGCCGGAGATGGGGCGTCCTCCAGGCTGGCGGAGGGGAACGGCCACAATGCCACCCCCACGGCGGCACCGTTCCCTGCTCCTGCCTCCGTCACCGTGAGCTCCATCACTGGGGCCACCATCACCATAACAGACAGCCCATCCATAGCCTCCAGCCCCAGCTCGGTGCCACCAACCTTGGAGACGGCCCCGGGTCTTCGGACAGCAAATACTGCCAGCTTGGCAAGCGGCACGATGGATTTGGGGGCAGCTCCCAGCCCCACGGGTATACCTGCATCCTTCTCCTCCTCCTCCCTCCCCACCAGCGACCTGTACTCATCCCCCGGGACGGTCTTGTCCCCAGCGCCTGTCCTCATGAGCCCCAGCACCACCCAGCCACCGGCGCTGACCAAGGGCGTCCCTTCCCTGGGGACGCTGGCCATGGCATCAAGCCTGGCTGTGGAGCCGACGTCACCCTCGGTGACTGTGACAAGCCCCACTGCAGCCGAGGCCGTGGCCACCGGCAAAACCACCCTCTCCACTGGAGTCACCATGGAAGAGGTCCCGCACGCTTTGAGTGCAGGTGAGCACCACCGCTCTCCGTATGCATATATAGATACAACGTCAACCTCAAGGTGCTTAGATAAGACGGGCAGAGCCCCCCCACATGGGAAGGGAAGAGGTGGTCAACTTTCTGAGAGCACCATTCAGCAAAAGCTGAGCTTTCCTGGAGGAGCCTGTGTCATCTGCTCCACCGGCGGAGACAAGGAGTTGTAGATACCAAACCACAGTTGCCCGGAGATGTGAATAAAATCCTCAGTTGCAAATTTGACTTGAAACACTTAAGGATGAGAGGAAACAAGTGCCTGGATGGTGGGTGCAGCCTCAGTTAAGGAGATGTAGGTTTTTTTTCTCCCTCCTGGAGACCTCACTAAGCTGACACTAGCTTTCACCCATCCTCTTCTGCAAGCTCAGATAGCTTAAAAGCGCTTCATAAGGCCAGAAAAGGGAGGGATCCGGAGCGTTTTCTAGCCTTGGCTCAGCACTAAATGCTTCCTGGTGCTGGGGGGAGCATCAAGGAGCAAGTCCATAGTTCTCAAGAGAAGCCCAGCTGTGTTTTATCCCAAATCCACCTGCCCTGCCTTTATGGGAAGGGGGTCGTTGCAAAAATACAGGGGTGCCCAGCATCCTCCGCAGGAGCTTTGGGAAGCAGTGAGGGAATATCCCCCCCCACCAGAGACGGCTTGCACGGGTGTTTCAGGAGCAGCCAGGGTGTGGGAACCCCCCCCCCCCCCCCCCCCCCCCCCCCCC